ATGCTGTCATGCTGTGTGTTGTGAAGTATAAAATGCGCGGTAGGCGCTATGTGTAAGGAGAGAGATCTGGCATAAAGGTTTAGCGTGCAGTTCGGTCGGCATGTATATCTGTGTAGCGTATATCATGAGGCAGGTCGCCCACATGAGCGGAAGGCAAAGCATTCAACCAAATACCAGCTTCCGGTTTGTGATTGTGCGAGGAGTCTGGCCCGATTGTTTTCATTGCCATGAAAGATCTCATGACGATGAAATCAACACTGAGTTAGCTTCACGCAGCTCCACATCATATCATACAAAATTGACAAGAACGAAAGGACAACAGTCCACGGAGTCAAATGGGGAGACGGAGGTGCTGATACTGTACAGCATTTCCGGTTCTCATCGACTTTTTTATTGGCATCGTACTTTTATGCAGTGTACATAATGCGTTTTGATTCCGTTCTTGTTGCTCCTTAGTGTCAGGAAGCGTTCTTCTTATATCGGCAGCAGTTTCGTGCAGTTTCCTGACGGATTTCGTGAAATGCTGTGGTACGTATGCAACCGTCCAGAACGACCGGTCGTCAGAGACGTTAAACCGTTTTGTGACAGTCGATTTTTGATGGACCGTATTGCACTAATTCCAGTAAAGTTCTCATGGTAAAATGTAAATCTCACAGGTGATTCAAATCATTTTTTTCCGATTTTGAAATGAATTTCAGAAATTTTAAAATTCTTTCTTTTAAATATGGGAAAATGCTATGAATTTGAAATCTGTGCACTTTCGACTTTATGGCCATATGCCTTTTGCAGCAAAGTCGTGTGATAACCAGACTTTTGGTACACAACAATGCATTTAAACTCTTCGTCCATTTTAGTTCGCCATATCTCAGCAACCGGATGCTGCGCGCGCAAAAGGTTTTGTGAGCCATGTACATATACAAATAATTTAGTTTTAAACGGACGTAAAGTATTACAAAAAAGTGAATCGGAGTGCGCGAAACCTTTCGTTTTCGTGTATGTATAATGTATCCCATTTTTGACACCATTCCTTCATTCTGCAGCAGAAAATGTGGCTCTGGTGGAGCCTCAAGACGTTGCTGGGTGGGTAGTTTCCCCGCACCGTCAGATTCGGAGTTAGCCGGGAAGAAACCTTTGCAACGCCCTTTGCATTTAATGCACAGAAAGTTGTTGTTAAGGTCATCCCACGATGCCTTGGCAAGAGATGCGCTCCGGTCTGTCAATGAGCCAATCGGGGCATTTTCCAAGTTTATGACATGCTGCTGAACTTATTGGATCCTGTGCAGATCAAGGTTCACTACACGCATGCAACGCTCATCGAGCAGCGTGTGTACATCCAGCATCTGCTGTACACCGTACTCTGTGCTGCAACTGTGCTGCCGGATGTAGTACCGTAGTATTCACTAATTGTTATCCTTTACGAGAAGCAAGCACCACTCAGTCACACTGCGCTTCAATCCGCAGAACCCTCTGCGATTTGCAGGTCTTGGTTGTGTAACTTGTGTTATCTTGTTACTTTCATTTCCATCCAGATTCAAGGTTAACGTCAATAACGTGACTGCGCGAGTGACGTGGCCGAAGCACCTTCTGGCACCTGAGCGCTCTTTTGCGGGCCGATTGACGTTCTTCGAATTTACCAAGGAAAACTGCGGAGAACTCCATTCGGCGGTATATACAGTATAAAGCGCTATGCAATAACAATCTATCGACGAAGGCTTATAGTCGCAAGATGTTCGCGCCAGTCGTCGGGGAATTATTATTTCTTATTTTGATATCCTTCTCGGAATCTCTGTTCTTATCCGTGCTGTACGACAGCACAGCGTGGATTTCCTAATGCATAGACTTCAAGCCGTTTCCTTTCTGGTGCTGCACACGGGAACGTCATCGGCCTGTCTCCAGCTATAGGAAGCCAATCTCATTCACGTCTCCGGAACTGTGCAGCGTGCGTGCTTGTCCATCGCAAAAGTTGATTTGCGCAGTTACTAGTGATTTACTACAGTGGAATGTTTGTTCCGAATTATCCGTGTGCGCTCTGAACAGAGTCAACAGATACAGACCCTGATCTGTATCATCTGTTCAAACTTCAAAGCTTGTTCGGATCCGTAGCTTATGGGAGACATGGTAGACTCACGTGGCTTCTAGAAGCTACACATCCGATGGCGAGATTTCTTATGGAAGAAGTAAGCTGGACTACTGTGCGCTTCTGCCGAGGAGACGCGCCGTATAATCATGCGTCATAGATCTTTTTGATTAATTTTAGTAGTTAGCTAACACTAATACCGCATTAATCGCATTACACCGTACGAAGTATACAAGTGGCAGCGTTGTTTTACGCTCCTTCACGTCCGTGTCGTTTCGCTTGTGGAAAGATATGCGGGTCGCTAATATTGTATACCGTATTTCGGTATATTTTGTCCCCATCTGGAACAATGTTGCTTAAGTAGACATGACTTGCATCGGATAATACGAGTACCTGGTAAGTGGCGGCAGTAATCTTTACCTTACAGATGCGAAATGACCCGCAACGCGCCTTGGTCCCAACAACTTTTCACTGAAAACCACTGAAAAATTTGTTTAAAATAAACTTGTGCAATGCAGGGTTATATTAAGCGAGCTGACCGTGCTGATACATTGTTTTGTCGATACACTGGTTAAGGGAAGTGGGCCGGTACATGGTACCAAATTCGTGTCCATGCGCGAAATCTTTCGCTTTCGCGCACTCCCAAACACATTTTTGTTTCGTTTTATGCCATTCTGTAGCCAGATGATTGGTATTCACGGGCGTGAAAACCGTTTGTGCGCGCAATATCCGGTTCGGATGTTATGGCTGTTAGAAAATTCCAAAAAGTTTAAATGCATTCCCGTGTACCAAAAGTCTCATTATGGACCGATCTATTTCAAATTTCGCACGCAAATACACCTGGCCATGAACATCGTTTTTACACCGATCCACTGTTCTAGCATGTTTTTCGAATTTGTAAAATGAATTTCAAACATTTTAAAATTAATTTTAAAATTTGAAAAAAATCATGGAAGTCTGGATTGGTGTTAAAACACGAGGCGAGGCGGGATTCCATAACCGATCAATGCAGCGGAAACGGCGCTGGAAAATTCCTTGTGCCAGCGCACACTGAAGCTATCGGATTTTCCCTCTCCGTACGAGCGCAAGAAGAAACGTTTCAGTAGGCTTTCCGAGATTCTTTGTGTTTGATGGAAACACTTTTTCCGGTGATTTATCGAGCCCGTTATGGTTTCTTCATTCCAAAAATGGAAATGAAATCTTTCGGGTTTGGTCGAACCACGCTTTCACCGATTGCAAACCCGCATTATTTTATCTTCAGCTTGGAAATAATCGGAATAAATAATCAATAATTTTAGAATCAACAAAATAAATTAGAGATAATTTTCAAGTAATAAAATAATTATTACATGGTTGTGCATGATTGCAGCGTGGACTGTATTAGCGTGTGCGGCTGCCTGTTGGGGTTTACTGAAAAAGGGACTACTTGTGGCTTCTCAGCTGGAGAAAGAACAAAAACATAAGAAAGCATACGAAACATACGAGAGCCTCGAACGGCCAAACAGCAGCTCGGGTTGGGTTTGAATGGTACCGTAAACGACGGAAACGGTACTCATGGAGTGGTGCACATGACTGGATTCGCACTGCACGGAAGTATGCTTTACTCTAGTTTGTACTTCTGCGCTTCTCCACAACGTGTTTCTCTTTTTTCGCATGATAAAAAATTTGAATAAAATCCAAAGGCTGAAAAATCGCTCCACTGTTCATGTCTTTGGTATCGAGTTGATGAACTACTCGTACAATATATCGAAATAAGTTATAAAAAATAATACTCCTTTATGATGACCTTAAATAAGGAGATAGACGTCAGTGTGCTAGACGCAGTGTAGTGGCAATCGTTCATGGCACACACTTCGCCCGAATTCCTACTACATATACACAGATTTACAGTACGTATGTGCGTGTGTACCGCAAAATATTCTGTACAGTGATAGAATTACTCTACAGTACGTGGCGAAGTACTGTATTAGCACCTGCAACGACACGCCTTGCACTTACTCTTTCATCCGGCCGACAGGGTTGCCGTCCTCATATTTCAATGAGAAAGGGAAATCAGCATCACTGCCGTGTATCTGTACCTCACGAAATGCAGGCATTTTCGCTGTTGGTGTACAGGGAATGGGAAACAAAATTCGGACCGAAAACCAAGATAAGCGACGGAAAACCAAAAGGCATCATCTTGGACTTCGCTTTGAATTTTGTTTCCAGTGAAGGAGGAGATGCTCTTAAGGGAAGTGGCCCGGTACATGGTACCAAATTCGTGTACATGTACCAAAATTTTCACATTCGCCCACTCCCATACACGTTTTTGTTTCGTTTTATGCCATTCTGTAGTCAGATGATTCGTCCACACTGTCGTGAAAACCGTTTGTGCGCGCAACATCCGCTTTGGGAGTTATGGCTGTTAGAAATTCCAAAAAGTTTAAAGGCATTTTGGTGTGCCAAAAGTCTCATTATGGACCGATCACCTTCAGATTGTGCCTATAAATGCACTCGGTCCTGAAGATCGTTTTCATACCGAGCCAGACTTCCATGACTTTTTTCAAATTTTAAATGAATTTTAAAATGTTTGAAATTCATTTTACAAATTCGAAAAACATGCTAGAACAGTGGATCGGTGTAAAAACGATCTTCATGGCCAGGTGCATTTGCGTGCAAAATTTGAAATAGATCGGTCCATAATGAGACTTTTGGTACACGGGAATGCATTTAAACTTTTTGGAATTTTCTAACAGCCATAACTTCCGAACCGGATACTGCGCGCACAAACGGTTTTCACGCCCGTGTATACCAATCATCTGGCTACAGAATGACATAAAACGAAACAAAAATGTGTTTGGGAGTGCGCGAAAGTGACCTTTTCGTGCATGTACACGAATTTGGTACCATGCACCGGCCCACTTCCCTTAATATATAAGCAGGAGATGACCATGTCGGACTCACACGCATGGTAACCGTTTTGCACTCCCATGTTAACCATTGCCGCTTATAACAGCTGAGAGAAAAATTGTACAGAATATGCCAACTGCTCAAACGATCAATCTCAACAAGTATTTGAGCAATGATGTATTGTGATGGTCATCAAAACGACGAGTGGTCAAAGAGAATTAAAATACGAAAACAACAATAAAACGTCTTTTTACCGCATTTACTGCAAAAATGGTAATAAATGCAGCGTTTGGGTCACCAGTTTTCGCTGAGGCGACTCTGTCATAATGGCCGTCTGGATGTCAGAAATGGTATCGGGAGGCGGACTGTTCCACCTGCAGGCAGTTTAACAACCACGTTTAATACCGTTCAGCCCGTTGCTGCGTACGTAAAACAGTTCATTTTGTACAAAGAGTTAAATACAAGTGTTATGTCGCGAGATTATAACAATTACTATGTTCATTGTTGATCGTTACGTCACTGATTACGTTTTTGGCGGGAGTAACCGTGGTTGCGGACGAAATGTAAAAAAGACGCAGAAAGAACGGCAGCGGATCAGCACTGACTACTTACAGCATAAAAGAGACGCTCAGAAACGCCCAGATGTAATTCCTCCGGCAGATGCTCGGGGACTGTGAAAGCGTTTAAGCCATACAGCAGACGATGCAGCTGTGTGCCCTCCAGTTCCGGACAGCACACTTCGAACATTCGGCGAACGGAAGCCGAGTAATCCGCTGTCGTTGTGCCGGCAACACTGAACGACCAACGAGGCACGTTGAGAAAGAAGGTGTCTGTGTATCGGGTGTACAGATCGCGGTCCACGCCCTCCGTCCCCCCGTTACGACATACTACAGGCAAGTTAATTGACTTCTTCGCATCGAAGGCACACTGTCGCAGCAGGAGATGAACGGAGGTACCATTCGGTCTCCGCCCAGCGAATGCTGTCCACCAAGCGAGCCGGCGTCCACGCCGCCACGCCGCTGTCCTGGAGGTCGATGCGAACTTCGATATCGCCCGAGTTCAGGTCCGTCGTGGATTCATCGAAATCGGGATCTTTAACACTCCACACATCACCATACGCGGCATGCTGCACCGTGTGGGCGTCCAGCCTAACGGACACGTCGTGCTCGTCCACATCACAGACATACCCACGCATCAGTGCACCGGACGCTCCCAGTATATCCACTACAAACGGATCATACAGACCACTGTCCGATTCTAAGGAGTATTCCGGCCTGTGTATAGGGAGAAGAAGAAGTTTTCCCAAAGGCATGGTACCTGCAATGGAATATACAGTTGAACCTGGTACTTGTAAGATACAAATTACAAACTATTAGGATTTCATTAATCGACCGGAGCGCAGCAAAGGCCCTCTAATTCAGACAAAATTAAAATCGTCGGTCCGCTACGGAAGTAAGAAATGACGTCATACAAGGAAGTAAACGTCGCCATATGAGGAAGTAACGGGACAGCATAAGGAAGTACAATATATGTTTGTACATCCAGTGTTAAAATGTTAAATACGGCACGGTTAGTAAATTTTTCCGCCATAGGTACTGTGCTAAAACACATATAGCGGCTCCCAACGTTTTGAAATTTAAGGCCGCGCCTTTCTATTAAATAAAACAAAACATATTTGGAAAACTACTAAAATGCTTCTGTTTTCCATCAAAGCGCGTAATACTGCATAAAGTCCACAGTGCGACTCACTTGCCAGGAAACAGGTAGACAAAGCCAGGACGAGCGCTCCACGAACAGTTTAATATTATTCTTAAACTAATTACTTACCGATTCGGAAACCAGCATAATCAGTTAGCCAACAACTCTCCAGGCCCACTAGTGGATGAAGAACGCTTAAACAAGGAAAAAGGTTGGGAAAATAAACTGGGAATCGGCTTAACTGGAATTTAAAGGGATAGTGCGGAGAAACGGCATATGTGCCAGTACAGAAAGAATTGCTCGTCGGATAAGCAGCGAGAAACGCCGACGGATCGATACTACTGCTGGTTAATTCGGCGAAAACGTCGTAGCGCGCAGCACGTGCTGAATAAAATCTTGTTGCGAGTGAACAGCCGCAGTTGGCGGTCCGGGGGATACGCATCGCGAAGACGGATGGCCGGGATGATGGGGGATGTAGCTGAGCGAATGATCCGACTGCAAGGCTGAACTATACCGGCATCGCCGGAGATCATTTCCGCCTTTATAGTCACAGTTCTTGTTCAGGAGGCCCATCAATGCAGGTGTCAAGAGATTCTTATTGCGGTGATCCGAACACCGCTACCAGTTATACATTAAAGCGAATAAGTACCACGTCTCGTTGTTCGTAAAACACGATGATGTTGCGCGTGGACGCCACGTGGTGCTTGGGGCATTTTACGCTGGCGGGACCCTTGAACGCCGCTCGGGCGGTTTGCCTAGACTGCACCGCAGTCTCGTCACTCGTGCGCCGATACAAACATGCGTCATCGTGCACGGAATGTTAAATAAGCTGTAAATAAGCTATAACTTTGGTACTCAGTCTTGTACCAACATTGTGATACTTAAGGAAAATGGCCCGGTACATAGCGTCAAAAATGCGATACATGCACTAAAACTTTCGCTTTCGCGCACTCCGAATCACTATTTTGTAACACTATATGTGTAACATTTTGTAACACTTTATATGTTATGTCATTCGAAAGCTGAATGATTTGTACACATTGTTCTGAAACCGTTTACGCGCGCAACATCCGGTTGCCGAGATATGAGGAATTAAAATGGGCGAAAAGTTTAAATGCATTGTCGCGTACCAAAAGCCTGGTTATTACCCGTTATTTTTGAAACTTTGCTGTAAAAGACACATGGCCACAAAGTCGAAAGTGAACCAATTTCAGGTTTTAAGACGAATTTTAGAATTTTTGAAATTCATTTTAAAATCGGAAACAAATGCTATATATATGGATATGATATTGGTTCACGTTCGACTTTATGTCCATGTGTCTTTTACAGCAAAGTTTCAAGAAGATCGGGTAATAACCAGACTTTTGGTACACGACAATGCATTTAAACTTTTCTCCCAGTTTAGTACGGCATATCTCGGCAACCGGATGTTGCGCGTGTAAACGGTTTTCAGAGCAATGTATACAAATAGTTTTCCGAACAATGTGTTGCTTTGAATTATTGTTTTGAAACTGTGATGTTACCGCATTTTGTGAAATAAAAACTTATATATGTATACAAATCATTTAGCTTTTGAAGGATATAAAGTATTACAAAAAAGTGATTCGGAGTACGCGAAAGCGAAAGTTTTAGTGCATGTATCCCATTTATGACACCATGTACCGGGCCATTTTCCTTAATAATGTACTGAGCGCTCTAGTGTGGCCATAGCCGAATTATGGAAATGTACGGAAGAAATTTTATTATACATTTCTTTCACTAGTAAAGCGTTCTTGTAAAAACTACAACTGTCTGGCCAGGTCATCGAACAGGGCGTTTCCGAAGTCAGGAGAAAAAAGACATGTATGGAAACATTATGGCTACTCCGGATCACCGCCCGGATGTGTCATTTTTCGCCATTTCCGGTGGCGCTGCAGACGCCCTGTGAGCTGGCCATACCCACACCGACGTTCTATGACAGCTTAGCAGCGGTATGGCCTGGGGCCCTGGTTCAGTTGATATGCACGGTGTTTGGTAAGCAAGTTTCCAGTTTCAAGTGATTTGACCGTGTAGTTATCGAGATCTAAAGAACTTTTACAACGTTTTACAACGTTAATGGTTTCTGATTGTTGCTGGGCAGTATATATTGATCTGCAGTTGTTTTGGCATTAGTTCCCAGTTGATGTCGAATGTTGATGTACCTCGTACCGTAGTTGTTCATTAGATGTAGTGCCGTTGCTTATTCTAGCATGGCTGGATTCCCGGTTAGTAATGTCGCCATTGCGGCGGCTGTTGGTTGCGAGTGAGTGCAGTTCCATAATACGGTCGCCGTGCGGATGGAGAGGGATGCGGGCTGGCTGGAATACATTCAGGACTCTGACGGCGACAAGGTGTGGAGTGACGTTGATTCCTCCAGAGAACCTTGTCTGCACGATGGCGAAGAGTACTGTACAATCTGTACTGAATATCCTCTGACATATACTACAGGATAAAGTACACGAAATTTTTCTGTTGTAGTTTTGTGATTCTTTCGCTAACTGTTATGTACGAGGGTTACTCGGAAAGTAATGATAACTATCGCACGATTTTTTATTGCATCAGCGCTTTCCTCGTATTTTCTCAAAACAATGTCCCTTAATCTCTATACAACGCAAACAGCTAAACAGCCACTCATCAAACGTTTTCGAAAAGAAATTAGGCGGTATCTTAGAGATCGGTGTACTGATATTTTCTTCCAGTTATTCATAATTTCAAACTTTTGCCCCGCAACAATTTTTCAAGCCAGGAAATATTTGGAACAGATAAAGGACTAAGGTAAACTAAGAAAAATAATGTGGAACGATAATTTTACTCCAGGCCGAGAAAAAAAATAAATCAGGGACGGGGTGCTTATCTGTGGATTTTCGCGATATTGCACCACACGGATGATACCGTGCCAGAAACCATTTTCTTCTGCGTTATCAGTAAGCAGCTGCAGCACACTCTCGACACCTTTCCTTCCATAATGATTAGACCCTCTGCTATTGCTTCGGGGTCGGAAAAGGATCCTTCTCGATCAGGGTTTTGACTATGATTACTTTTCGAAAGTGGAAACTCAAAAAAATATTCCAAAATTTGAGCACCGTTGTCAAAACGGAGTGCTCGGTGGGAGTTCGCTGGAACCAACTGGCAACATCAGCAAAGAATGGTCCTTATTAAGGCGACAGAACAGGCAATACAGCATGAAAAATTCTACACTTCTCTCTGCAAATCAATTTTTCAAAATAATATCATGAAAACTGGCCAGTAATTAAGGCAACGCTTTCAGTGATCAGTGAAAAATCAGCGCTACCCAGCCATGTTCAGAGCCTTGCTAGCCGCCAACCTTAGGCGGTATGGCCACGGCCATTGCCCTATGATCTAGTTATGAATGCTACAGTTTTTAAAAAATCAGTGCATAATTTTATGATTATTAACTGATACTGATTATCATTACTTTCCGAGTAACCCTCGTATCTGTACTGAGTATGCTTGACCAATAAAACCAGTTATAAGTTATAATATCAGAAAACAGAAATCCTATGTACGTAACCCTAAGAAACCTACAGTACGAAGGCATATGGAAACAAAGAAATTATGAAATTTATTTCAGAACTTCAAAAGAATGTCTCCAAATAACACTCTTAAGAAGTGATACTTCTATGGTTTTCTTAGCGGACGCAGAACGTTGACAAATGCGCCTGTTTCTGATTTCAGAGTGGCACTTCTTGAAGATGGCAGACTCCTTTCTTGTTATGTCCGCGTTTGTGAAAACTGTCATGTTTTACCGCTTGCCAGTGGCGAAATGGCGCCTGCCGTTGCCGGTGGCACGTCACTGTGTACACCCTGCCGTCTCAACGTGCCGAGAAGGCCATCCACAAGTGCAGTGCTCTCTCATCTGCGCGACGGCTTTGATGAGCGCATCCGTGCATGGGCATCCTAATAACACGTAAAGGACGTGGTCGTGTTGTCAGGATGTCAGTACACGGATGCGGATCCTAACAACACGTCTACGTCCTTGGCCCTTCTCGCTGGTCTTGAATTTTCGGCGCCCCTTCACATAAGCCAAGTACGTGAAGGGTCGTCGATATTACAGGATTCTGCAACATGAAGTCCGGCAGATTACCCTGGATGTTCCCGTCGGTAATGAGCCATCGTGCCATGGAAATAATTCAATTTATAATTATTTTAAAGCCCGCTGCTGCCGAGTTCACGGTTCGCAGACAGCGACGCTCGCCACGGAGGACAGCGGTCGTTTCCACGTGCGATTCGGCTGGGATAAATGCACATTCATTGTGCACCGCCGGGGGGACTCCGACACCATGAACTGGACAGTGGAAACTCTGATGAGGATGCTGGATGAGCTGACAACGTGTCCAGTCAGGCTGCCAACAGCTGGCAAAGAGCAGACAGGAAAATGTCCCGGTACATGGTGTCAAAAATGGGATACATACACTAAAACTTTCGCTTTCGCGCACTGCGAATCAATTTTCTGTACTACTGCATGTCATTCGAAAGCTAAATAGTTTATATATATTGTTCTGAAAACCGTTTGCCCGCGCAACGTCCGGTTGCCGAGATATGGCGTACTAAAATGGGCGAAAAGTTCAAATGCATTGTTGTGTACCAAAAGTCGGGTTATTACCCGCTCTTCTTGAAACCTTGCTGTAAAAGACACATGGCCATAAAGTCGAAAGTGAACCAATTTCAGGTTCATAGCATTTTCCCATCATTTTAGAATGAATTTTAAAATTTTTGAAATTCATTTTAAAATTGCCCATTAAAACGTTTCGCCCATTTTAGTAAGCCATATCTCAGCAACCGAATGTTGCGCGCGCAAACGGTTTTATGAACAATCTGTACAACTCCTTTAGCTTTAGAACGATATATAGTATCACAAAAAATTGAACTGGAGTCGCGAAAGCGAAAGTTTTAGTGTATACATCCCATTTTTAACACCATGTACCGGGCCATTTCCCTTAAACGCCAACAAACAGAGACAGCACGGAGACCGACGGTCGTCGTAATACGACGTGCTACAAGCAGTACGAAGTACGAAGATGGCTGAATTAAGACCGGCTCTCCAAGTCATCAGTTCCCCGTTACCGTGAATATTCCCCATGCATTCAAGTAATACTTTGATCGACCGTATATAATTTTTAATTTTAGTCGCACGCTTGAAAAATGTGTGTTCAAGTAACCGGCTACTTCTTCCTGAAAGCCAATTTTATTGCAGACTTGTGTAATGTCGACTTTTTCTTCTGAATAACCACTTCTTAGGTCACATGTGTATCTTGTTTAAGAATATTCATGGCTTATAATTCCATACGTTAAGAATCGCACCAGAAAGAGAATGCTTAGCCCTATCAATAGTTTCTGTGTTATCAGACATACTTATGCGTTCTGGCTGAGTGAGTCACGAAAAAACTGATGTGGCAGATACTTTTGCATAACGTTTCACAAAAGTCACGTTCCATGCGGACATCCTAACGTGTACACAGTACTTCTTTATCTGGACCAGATTAAACATTTGTGTTTTAACGACAAATTCATCGGCAGTACACAAAAAAAGATACGCACAAGAAAATAATGTCGGATATCGGCAATTCTTGAGCAGAATAATAATCAGCGTAATTACCGAAGATAACAAGACATTGCCGTTAAGCGCGCTTGATGATGCACGACGACGAGACGATGCACTGTATTAATTTCCAAATTTCAGACTGCGCATATTCTAATCACGATAATCTAAACTGATTTGATGGCGGGCTAAGTATGTACATTCCATCTTTAGGTGGGCGTAGCAATACCATCTGTTTACTGATGAACTTCGTCTCGAAAAGCACTAGGTCTGATTGTTCATCCAACGTGGCTGGGAAAATGTGGTCAATTTTCGCTTCCCGTGTGCCGGCTACAGGACCGTAATTATCATTACGTAATAGCAAATGACCGGATACGAATGAATCGGTTATGATCACGCAGCGGTCGTCTACAACAGCAATCACGTGATCCACTGCGATAACAATTCCGTCGTCCGTACACACTATGCACTCGTTCCGCAAATAACCTTCGTTTCTTTCTCTTGTTCGGACAAAAATACCATTCTCCACTTTACAACGCTGGAATGTAAACATTTGCGGCGCTGAGCGATGTAAACGCTCTTGCAGTAGGCGATAAACCGTATGATGAACTGGCAGGGGAGTGGCCTTGCCGATAAATGTGCAGCGAGCGCCGGATACTCCAGCTTCCGGCAAAAATTCGGCTTCTCTAAAACATCCAAGACAGCCTCGTTGTAGGTTAGAAATAGAATTTTAAATTACGACTTTTAGCCTGTAATGCAGTCATAAAAATTATAAATATGAAGTTGGATCAGCTAAAAATTTAATCAGCGATTTCGCAGCATGATAAAATATGATAAATGGTTTAACCTTGACAGTCCGAGTACGGCGGAAACCGCATGATGCGTCGCACTAATAGCTGTGCTGTTATTCCGTGCTTCATTTAATTTGAGAGCGCAGGTGGTTAACATATTGAAGTTGTTCATGATATGCTTAGCGGTGTTATTCATTGCGAGGACGCGTCGAGAAATCTTGCCAATATTGTGTTCCGGTCCGTAGCACGATAGTATATGCAGCGGTCCAAACAGTTCAACCGCGTATGGAATATGCTGCATCAAGTGGACAGAATATTTCATCTCGCCAATTCCAAAGTAATGTTGAAATGACTTTAAGAAATCATGGCACTGAGTTTGAAGTTCGTTGATATCAGTTGTCGTGATAGATTCTTTCGTGCACAGCCAAATAACACGGGAAGCATGGCAAAAAACTTTGTAAACGTTTTCCGGTAAGATGTTTTTTAACACAAATGGCGCGGCATGCTGCATAAAAAATCTTAATTCATGCGCTTTCATTCTTTTATACTCAAGAATATCTCGTGGTGGTCGGTTGTGATGACCAGGAATCACAACGGACAGCCATTGCTCGTTAATTTGTTGAATTTTTGATTTGGGAAGCCGTAAGACAGAGTCGTGTTCACATAACTGTCCCAGTAAGTACTTGGTAACGCCTTCATCGAACTGGTGCATTATATCCAACACAAATCCTTCGACAAGGTCAAAACCTTCAATCTGCGATAGCACTGTAGGGCGTTTCATGCCGAATGTCAGATGCTCTTTAAGTGCAATCTGTCTTTGTTTGGTAGTCATTGTTTCCCAAATTGACGCCGCTTCTTGCAACTTTTCGTGAGTTTTTAGAACCGCATTGGGTTCGAAAGCGAAGCATATTCTGTGGTTAATGCAAACTCCTATCTGCAAGCAGTACATACACGACTGTTTAGCACTATGCGATAGCTGTCCCGATACCGCTGACCGTTCAGGAGTATCAGCGACATACGAGTGTAGCAATATTTGGGACTCGTGGGGAACATTTTCGTAGTCACTCCAACAAACCTAAATTAAAATTCTACACTTTAGTGCAGTATGTGTCTTCAACGTTATTTGCAAACATAACCCCCTGTTTTCAGCATTACATTGGTTTTTCGAAAGTCGAGTACGAGTAGCACACCAGTAGCACACCAGAAAGTCAGCGTACAAGTTCGGTATGTAAGTAGCAGGCCAATTTGTACTTAATATTATGTCGGGATATTTAGTTAGGATACAAATAATTTATGTAGAAGTACAGTGAAATAGAATATACACACGTATTCGCAATATATGCAGATCTACCTATTTTGCAGTCTAATAAAACACGCCGGTTAAAGTCTAAGTGTATACTTTTTAAATGTTTTTGCTAAGATGTATGTAGAGGCAGGCTTTACTGCGCTTACCGGTGTGAAATTTTCATTTTCTCTTTGAGATAATTGGATCTGTCGCACGAGCTCAATCAAAAACGGCTCACGGTCTTTCGGAAGTTCACTACCAGCCCAGATGGTATGCAAAACCATATCGGCAGCCGAAGCCAGTACATTCAGACACTAGGTGAACATGAGATATAATTTTTTTGCTGGTATACTTTTGCTCAAAACTGCGCCGTCACTACGCATAACAATCACGAGGTCGTCGTATCTTGCTTGGAGTTTTTTTTGGTTAGTAAGTTGTTTGAAGTGAGAATTTTGGCATCCGGGCTTGTATACATACGTTTGGTCAAATGCAGTCTGTCATATCTCTTCAACCGGATATTGAGCGCATAAAAATGCCGTAAACCGGGAAACCACAATACAAAAAAATAAAAAATCTAACATTGGCCACTGTACTACGGTAATTATTCTACGTTACTTTACACAGCCCATTTATCTCGCGGGTACACTTGTTTATGCTCTTGCTTCCGGGTGAACTTATACGTTCTATTAGAAGACTGTTAAATACGCGCCCCAGCAACGCGAAGACGTGTATCATGCATAAAGTTATACTGTATGCGCCGAAATACGTTTGGACCACAAAGTGCGTAAAACGATAGATGCACACACATTGCTCGCTGTTCCATGTAGCGTGTCCAATGCCCAGCAGGGGCAAAACAGCGGTCGGACTGTGCAGATGTCTACATTACTCCAGACTAAGTTCCTTTTAGGAAATACTTGCGGTAAGTACATAGTCAGCGCTCTGCTGGCATCATAAGGGGCGACTGATAAGAAATTATAAACTGACCAAAACAAGTACTTGTACGCACGTAGTCTGCAGTCATAATACGCGTGTTTCTTGTCTGTTTTAATCACAAAATCAGTTCCATGTCTGGAGATATTCATGTCTGGAGACGTTCAGGCCACGAGGGCACAACTATTTTACACATTTAACGATCACAAGTATACGCAATGTCTGACACTGTGCAACCTGTGACCGGCTCATCCGTCGAGCAACCTGTTCCCGGCTCATCCGCCGATCAACCTGTGCCCGGCTCATCCGTCGAGCAACCTGTTCCCGGCTCATCCGCCGATCAACCTGTGCCCGGCTCATCCGGGGAGCAATCTGTGCCCGGCTCATCGGCTTCCATGGAATCTAAGCCGGCAGTTAAAAGGATTACAAAGAGGCATAAAAATGCCGGAATGTCGGTTGTTATTCCGTGGTCCCGGATTGTTATGCCAGCGAGGGGTGTGGTTTACTCCGATGAAGAGGAGCAGGACAAGTAGGCGCATTGTGCTAACTTTTAATATAAAATTTCAAAAATACTTTTTGATTGCATCCAGTTTTGCTGTACGAAAACCAATTTGATGACTTGCAGGAAAATGCTTGCTTATCTACAATAATCAACACGATCGTAAATTCGTAATAGCTAAAAATTGTACCTAAATTATAGAAAAAAGCCAGATAAAAAGACTGAAACCAAGACAGATGAAGTGGCTACCGAAGCTACCGACAACAAAGACAAAGGCGGCAAAGAAACACCTAATACGAAATGCAGCCCAAAGCCAATGCCACCAATTTCACTTAAAAGAAAGAAGCGTGGAATTTACTAGCCACTTATGATACGTAAGCACGGTCTTCGCGAAAAATTATTTGCGGTTGCATTTAAGCATTTTAATTACGCTAGTAATACTACTGTATAAGTCTTTGCAAGGCATTTATCGATGCGTTAATAGGTTAATATCGGTTGGTTTTTTTGGTCTGGCACTATGCTGCGGAAAGCTTTTTATAATCTTTTGTTATATTTCCTTTTTTCCATGCTGGTGTATCGCTTGATTTTAACTTTTTACAATATCTCGAAAAATAAACTTTTACCATGCTGGCAGCTTGCAAGGGTAGTATTAAGCAAAAAGCACAAGCGATTCGACAATATACGAGTAGTTATGCAAAACGTGTAGACATATGACACTAAAACCTTTCACTTTCGCGCACTCTCAAACAAAATGTTTACTGCGTTACGGCGTATAATACCAAAATTAGTAGCTCTATATTTACGTGCAATTGAGCAATAATTATGCGCGTAGCACCGGGTTAGTTGAAGAAATGTGTACATACTGCATATGACCCTGAATTTACACTTATATGCCGGTTTCGTCTTGCACTAAGGAGCAAATAACATGCTTACATGATGTGTATTCTTCGCAATCTTCAGGGCAGTCATCCGAAGAGCATGAAGTTGTGTCATCACTTGCGGAATCAGAACCGTAGTCACGCACAGAACCATTTGATGTGTCATTATTATTATCCGATAATACGACGTTGCGGTTGACCGTAACTGCCGCTTCGTTATAGTTTGCAGGCGATGAACTAATTTCTGAATCTGTTGCATGCACATTACGGGCATGAGATAGTAGCCGGTTAGCATTAGCTTTAGAAAGTCTGATCCGTTTCATTGCGGTGCAAATCAGGAGGTCAAGAAAAATCAACGATAATTGTCCACATTAAATATACTGGGAATAAAATAAGTACCACAGCATAGTCCATACGAAGACGCCCCGCACTCTTCGAAAGAATACGTACTCGACTACGGTAACTTGTACGATAAAAAAATAGAGTATTAGCGTCTTATCTGGGGTAACAGTGAGTCACGTAGTAAGATATCTTGCCTGCGCGCCAAAATGGCGAAGGCATCAGTTGTTTGCTGCACTGTTCAGTTGGGAATCGTCATTTACAAAATAAGTTGATGTGGTTTATCGAACAAAGCAAGCTTCTCTAGTGGGTTAACTGTGGGCATTGATTGCTGCCGATTTATTACTGCAATTAAGGTATAAATAGATTCGCTCTGCTCCTTATCTTCTCCGTAAGAGAATAATGTCGAAAAAGAAAGCCGGAGACGCCACATCCGATGTGGACAGCGACAAAGAGTGCCCGGACGCTTTTACTGAGTGTGTAGCGGGATCTGCAGGAAAAGACCACGTCGTCATTGTATACGAGGAGGACAAGATGGCTCGCTTGTTACTGCCCAGAGAGGTTGGACGGGATGGGATGCTCAGGCCAAGGAAGACGGATGAAATTGTCGCCGAGTATGTGGGGAAAAAGAAGCTTTTTCCGGGCATGTTACTCCGTGCAAAGTGGGATAATCGTAAACGGTTCCGGCAGTGCAAGGCGACGGTTATGTGCGTTTCGGACGATCCGGAAGAAGCCGCTACAGCGTTCCGCCTGTATGATGAGCAGCACCGAGCAGCGGTAAGTGAACGCAGTTAAGAGTTGATCCGTTAATTGCATCCGTCCGTTACTGCATTAATCCATTAATTATTATAGATGTTTTTCTTGTCGTTACTGTACTATTATTTTCTCTATTATTTTCTTTATTCACCTGTGATACAACGTGTTATGCGATAATGAAAAACGTCACAATTATGCAATTATGTGTCTTATGCGATTATTAAAAACGTCATAAAACTGTTCTTATATCATTTCAATGTTGCCGTTTTACTGTTAGTTAAGCGCTTTAAAAATAGCATCTAGTAAATAGTTAATTTAATTAACAAAGAATTACTGCGGTTTCCGTTGACAACGGCTCAGAAGTCTGCAGTAGACAAATACATACAGTACTCGTACTCGTATTTGCGTTACTCATAGGCACCATCGTCGTGACATTACTGTACGCTTGCACTGTCCTTGACTATCTGCTTGAACTGGAACCTGCGTATTTTGCGGCCTCTTTCTGCCAAACAGGGACATAACCGGTAAATACTACAGAATGATGAATGAATCGTTGGTTTTAAGTTTCGATGCAGTGTGAAAATACTCGCGAGGAAGATGCGTTAACAGAGGACAGTATCACTCAACCGAACCATGTACTCATGTAAACGCATGTTGCGATACTTACACATGCTGTCCTCTATTAATAAAACTTCCTTAACCGCGGAAATTTACGCTGCTGCAAGACCGACCAGCGAGGATTCACACAATACAAATCAATAATGCAATCCTTACGGCATTGTATCATTGGAGCAGAAAGACGCCGCTCAATATGCAGCTGCCAGTTCAAGCGGATTGTAAACGACTTTGCAAGTCACCCGTCACACTGATGGATTAGAAATTAATACATTAACAATGTACCTAATGATACAATGTTATTAATATTAATGTCAGAAATTGTACAGCGATAACTGTCGTTAACGTGCGATCAAAAGTTTACCGTATTGCTATGCACAGCCATTTGCGGAACCCCATTTTCGTCATTAATATTATTAACTCATTATTAATTACAATAATAATGTTTTGTGCCGTTCTTAATTAATTCATATCGGCCGCCGGCGCCAGTGGTTCTGAACTGCGCGTTAGGTATTTGCAGATGTTCAATATTTGTAATTTTCAATCTCACAGAGGTTACTGTACTTTCAGTATAATCGTACTTAAATTTGCACATTGCAAAATAATATGAGAAGGTTGAAGTAGTTGTAAATAAGTCACTATTCATTCAAGCAAATATTAATATCAATGATAATTACTCATTAAGTACAGTACATACGTACAGTGAGGATGATATGAATAACTGTTGTAGCTTCGCAATAACAACGGCGCAAATTCTCAAAATGGAAAGCCGACGGCAGAGAGTGGGAAGAGCGTGACTCCAAGCACACCAATTCACGAAAGAAATGACCGGAAGTCACCTGAACCACCCATTTCGCGCAGCGTTTCCTTGGAAGCTGGACAACAGGAGAACAATCCAGCAGTCGACGCAGAGCATGTGCCTGTGGATCAGCATCCGGACGACTTATCTGGCGCCAATTCAGCGGCGCCAATCGCGGAAAGGCAGAACCAAGTGCATGAAGCAGTCCCGCCGAGCAATGGAAAGCAGTTCACGGAAGTGCAACAACTGGTAGCCCTCAAGCAAAATCTGCGCGACAAAGCATTACGGCTCCAAAGGTCCAGGAAAGGTACAGTTGCACAGTACTTAAAATGCAACTTGCTGATCTTTCAACGCTTCATAATACTGCATACATAAAAATTAATTATAACTAGGAAAAATGCATGTTGGGGTGCATTTGGCAGACTGGAACGGAGCAGCGCGTGTCACTCGTACGAGTGTTAATCAATTTTTAACGTCCTACCTGTAGCACTTTTAACGATTTCTTAACATAATTATTATTAATTTATACTAAAAATAAAACTAGCCAGCAACAGTTTCGTAACAACCTTTCGTAGCGACCTCCGTAACGAACATAAATCAACCAAAGCATTAGTCTTGAATACATAGTACCTTCGCTGCGCTCCTGTCAAAAATTCCGCTGGACATTGTACATGAGAATAACCTATAAATTTTTATTAATTTTTGATGATAAATTCCATTCATTTTCGTATACAAATGTACTTATTTACGGAAGGCTGCCGGTATGTTTGTACTTTGTCAACTACAGTACTTTGCACATTGTCTAGAAAAGCTAGCAAGCTAAAGCTGTTGTACAAGTGTACATATTTTGCGCCATGCACCGGCTGTCTTCCTTTGAGTGAGTTATTGTAGCACGGCTGAAGAATCTTTTATTACTAATAATTATTTTTCCTTTTTTTAGAGGTGAACGAGAAGCTAGCGCTGCTGCTGCCGGCTCACAAGAACAAACCGAAAATGGGTAATTTTACTTCTTAAATAGCTGATAGTACTTAAGAGGAAATGCCCCGGTACATAGCTTTCAAAAATGGGATACATGCACTAAAACTTTTGCTTGCGCGCACTTCAAAATTGTTTTTTTTTAACTCTATGTCATTCTAAAGCTAAATGCTTTGTGTACATTGTTCTGAAAATCGTTTGCGCGTGCAACATCTGGTTGCCGAGATATGAGGTACTAAAATAGCGGAAAGGTTTAAATTCATTTTTATGAACCAAAAATCTGGTAATTAGGAGATCTTCGAGAAACTTTGCTGTAAAGGCACAAGGCCATGAAGTCGAAAGAAAACCAAATTTCAGATTCATAGCACTTTCCCGTAACTTTCAAATAAATTTCAAAATATTCTAATTTAATTTTAAAATCAGAAACAAATGCTATGGATCTTAAATTTTTTCACTTTCGACTTCAGGGCAATGTGCTTTTAGTAGCATAGTTTCGAAAAGATCAGATAATAACCAGACTAACAACAATGCATTTAATCTTTTCCGCCATTTTAGTACGTCATTTCTCGGCAACCAAATGCTGCACGCGCAAAAACGATTTTCAGAACAATGTATACGAATCATGTAGCTTTAGAATGGCATTAAGTTTAAAAACAAAGGGTTTCGGAGTGCGCGCAAGCGAAAGTTTTGGTGTATGTATCCCATTTTTGAAGCTATGTACCGGGGCATTTTCCTTAAAAAGGTTTTCGTATAAAATGTATTTATATAAAACATGGATTTAGACTTGTCCCATGCACTGGATACTTCCGTTGATAATTATTTAATCTTTTCCAGTTGTCAAGAGCGTTCCTTTTACTTTCCTAATGGCCGAGCAGGAGGCGAAGAACAACGGTTGCGTAAAGCTCGATGAAGCCGGCGACATCTTCATCAGTTTGGACAAGCTGAATGAGCTGAAATTGGATCCCAAGATTACGCGCGCTTCCAAATATGCCAAATCTTTAATGAAGGCCATTATGGACCATGAGAACCTTGCCATTGCGTACAATCACAAGCAGAAGGGTGTCGGTCTGGCTAAGGTGCTGGGAAAAAACAACTGGCTTGCATTCTGGAGTAAGTACAAAGCCTGCACAAATATATATAAATCATAATAAAAAAACTTGACATTGTACAGCACTGAATATTGTAACGAGTGCGAAAATTTGGCTGATTTTGCATTTATCAAGCTAGATATTCTGTTTATTTAACCGTGTACTGCTTTTTATAGATCACGTGAAATTGCATCAGCGTCGAATGATCAAAAAAGACCCGGCATCCCGATGGACTGAGACCCTGGACGTGGAAAAGATCCAGGGAAAGCTGCGGAAAAGCTATAGCGACCGCATTCGCACTTTTGCGGAAATGGAGAAGCTGTTTTCTTAAGGTTTTAGATTTTCGGGTTTTGGACACGCTTTTTTCAATATACAGCCGACTGCGACATTTCATTTATTTTAATTTGATTGTATCATAATGTGCTGCGTGGTTTTATTTTGGCATTTCAGTGGAGTGGTTGTGTTCTTGTTTGAGAAGGGTGAATTATTTTCTTTTTACAGTGTACTTGTATTCAGTATGCAGCGTTAATTTTTAATTTTGTTTCGGTTAAGGTTGTTATTTGTCAGTTGATTCAATACTGCTCTTGATTAACAAAATTCGAGCCAACTAATTTTGCGCTGATAACTATGCAACGTTCAAAATTGTGTATAATAACATGATTCGCTACAGCAACCGATTATTATAAAAATATATTCTAAAGAATTCACCGTAATTATTGGCATTGAACTGATATACGAAACACACATTTCACCGTTAAAGAGTACATTTTTGCACCAGTACAAAATATGTCCAAAAAAGCAAAAAAATGTCGTTGAGCGGACAAATTTGTGTCTTACAGGATAAAAACGTAACGATTTAAGGGGTATTGTGCATCACACGTATCACGTGTCACCAAACGTACGAAAAAAAGTGCTGAAAAAACTATCGTTGACACAAAAACTTTTAATAGGGTAGCGTGATTACTTTCCGTGGAATTCCAGTCAACAGCGTCGTAAATTTCCGTCTTGTCGGCAGAAAGTATGTACAGATATCGAACTTATCGCAGCTGGGTCTAAAAATCGAGATGTAAATCGACGAGGAAGCGCATACATTTAATTAGGTACATTAGACATAGATGAATCATTGCATCGCAGCGGATAAAAATCGCCAATAGGTACTCAGTTTTCCAGCACAACGAGTGCATATGTCAACCAAATTCCACGTCCATCTTTCCTTATCACCGAATAAATCGATCATAATATCCTGAATGTTAGCAGAGCATAGCACCGTACCGTACTGTACCGTACGTCGTATTACTTATGCTGCGTTATTCGATCGATAACTTGATGGGGAAAAGCAATTTCTTCAAGATTGGTCAGTTCTTTGACCGCGCATTTGTATAGGCTGGCTGTGCCAAGTCGTACAAGTTGAGAGATAAGTACTTACAAAATAGAACGAAACAGGATGAGAGCAACATTGTAAACTAAATATAGAGAGGCTGGTCCGTATTTAACGCCGTAATTCCGTAATTCTACGATCTATAGTTGACGGTTTTACCATAATATTCTGGCTGACATAAGAATGGTTAGATTGTCGAAAGTGTGCGAATGTTTCGACAAATACTGATGCTTGCCTGGGCGCTGTGTGCCCGCATCGTCGTCAGTCTGGACTGCGAGGAACTAGCCGCTCAGTGCCGGGAGTATGGCAAGCAAGAGCATCTAACCTTGGAGCGCTTAATGAGCTTGAGTATACCCTGGCCGTTGACCGGGAGATTCTGCAGGAATTATCATATCAGCCTGTGGGCGAAGCCTTTTGCCGGTTGGTTAACGTTGCTTCCTTTATTATTATTTCGTCATTCTGTCATTAATAATTAAACGTTATTGCTCCTGTTAATCTACTCGTAATAATAATAATAATGATTCCTTGGCAGTGTTTCTATGCGCCCTGATCGTGAACGCGGGTGCTTCGCAGATACTCCAACCAGAGCGGGCACTGCGTACGCGACCTGCTCTGACCCGCTGCCCGGAATTCCTCGCTGACAATCCCAGCGGATGGTACGACTCCGAGATGCTCGTCGCCATGGGCCGTCTCTGCGCGACCAGCATCGCCCCGGTCAAATACTTTCGCGCGGACACCCTTCCGCTCAGCGCTGGGCCATTCGAAGATAACTACTGACCTCTTCCGCTATCCAGCAAATATGACGACCATAAACGCCGAAATCTACCTGTCGCCGAATAATCGTCGCCGACCCGGTTGTATCATAACCTCAACTGTGTTTGTGCGAATGCTTGGTTGTACATTATGAGCAGTAACTCGCGCTTTTGCGCTTCTCATCCTTTCTCATCCTAAAACTACAGTCTGTGGACTACAGCCGGCAGATTGCAGAACGTATGCCGGGAAAGTATATTATGGCTATTGGAGATATATGCACGCGTAACGCTGACGAAAATCGGTATACGTAAGTGTAAAAATGAATTCTCTCGCCCTTCACCAGCTTACCAACGATCGCTATGGCTTACCGCAGTACCGATAATACATATCTCCGAGCTTCCCGAGAACATCATTATTCTAAGCAGTGAGTGCTTTGGGTACCGGCAGCGTGCCGAGTTTTACTGCTCATTTTACCTGAATATAATATATCGACGTCAGACGCTGGATTACGTCGGGCACCGGAACATCGCACTGATCACATTTCCTTCTCATACTTCCCCAGTTCCTCAGAAGGTGAGCAGAACGACCACAGCTTTTCCTTGAAGACATCTACCGTAGCCAGCTGAAATTAGATTTCCTTGCGGTGATTTTTAGCATGGTGGTTAATTTGCAGTCCACGCTCTGTGTCTCGAAAACTTCTTATAATTCTTATAATGTTTTCTTGTGGGTTAGACTATGACCAAAATAGTGAGGATAATTATTAGCTTCTGTAGCTTCCGTCCCTGTGGAAACATTTCCTTTTCAACTGGTTTCAAGGATACATCGTCTGCTAATATTTATTCTGGATTTCATTCGTGAATGCGATAATATGTTCTTTAGAGGTTCTCGGTCAACGTGCGGGGCAGCGACACGGCGTTCGGTACCGATATGGGTGCAGTGGTGGGCAGTGCATCGGTGACAGTTAGTTAACCGGTTGCTGTTGCGGTTAAGCACCTACAGTCTCCACGGCATCCGGCTAATTTACTGGCGCTGGCACAAACCAGCGGAGTGCTGCACAGAGACAGTAGACAAGAATGAAGAACCCCTTCTTCCTCCCACTCCGGACTGGGTCTTTGACACCGCAATGGACGCACGGCAGGAGCCGGCATGCAGTTCTCCGCCGCCGTCGAACAGCCTTTCACGGACAAGATGGGTAAATAACCCACTTACCAAAACTTAACATAACACTTTTTTAGATATATAAGAAGTATCCAGTGACCTTTCGACGGTTTTCTTCATTACAGTACCAGTAACGCGTATATGTCAGATGAAGCAAGTGACCTTTTCACGCTTTTGGTTATAACGACTTGCATAATATAAGAGCGGTGTTACTGCCTCATATCGCGTTGTAAAGCAGGACAAGACATCTGGACGTAAAATGTGAAACACATGCAGCTTTATATATTACACCAAAAAGGTAGTAGAAACTATAAACCAGTTCACAATATAAACATTATTTATCATACGTAAAAATTAATGAAGACACACGCCGCCGCATTTCACCAATGTTGAACCAGTTGGAACTGCGCTAAATAGACAGTCAGGTACAAATACTATCATAATTCAAGTATGTTAAAACACCCCGTAAAATGAAGAATAGTAAACTGTTGTTAACGTACAAATCAGTAACAGCCCGAATCATTCGCAGTGTCCGGCATCGTGACGCATGGTCCGTACCGGCATCGACACACACTGCGTTGCGCTATGGTCCACGAGATTTTCCTGGAACACCCTCGCCACCTTTTCCCGGAATTCATCACTGACCGGGACGCATTCCGCATTTACGGCCGCCATCAAACTGGAGGAAAGACTTGCTGGATCCGTTCCACATTCCAGAATAAGATTACAAATAACCACCGGAAGTTGAATCTGGCGGGCCGAACGCGGCGGTGCGGATCCGAATACATGTTCGAAACTGAAGACATTGCTGATCTGGTACTGAATTATTTGTAGCCGCCGACAACGCTGGCTGCTGCAGAGAACAGATTAGTTGTTATGATGATCGTAACACGAGAGGTCGTGGTATTGCAGCTGGTTCACGTTTTCAGGCCAATACAGCCACGGCTTCCTCGTGGGTCACCTGGCTGTTTTCTAGACGCAGCAGTACAACGTCACATCGTTGGATTTCAGTACCCACAACAGCCGACGGATCCAGTGATTAGTCGAACGGAAATTGTGGAGCGTCAGGACTTTTGTGGCACTGCTGGTAGCTCGCAGTAACATAAAGTATGTACAATGCACCATCGCTTGGCTCGGAGAAAGGCACTCTCCGGTCAACCGTTGGATGGCAGCGGACTGCGACACAGTAACGTGGCAATCTTTGCGAAATGACGTCGTTCCACAGTGTACACACCCTGTGGGATAAAGAATCCATTTTACCGGCCTAGACTCCAACTCTGACTCTGACTCTGATTCTGACCACTCAAACTCTGACTCTGACTACTCAAAGTCTGACTCTGACCGCTCAAAGTCTGACTCTGACTCTGAGGGTTTCTTAGGTTTCTTAATAGGTTTCTTAGGTTTCTTAGGTTTCTTAGGTTTCTTAGGTTTCTTAGGTTTCTTAGGTTTCTTAGGTTTCTTAGGTTTCTTAGGTTTCTTAGGTTTCTTAGGTTTCTTAGGTTTCTCAGGTTTCTTAGGTTTCTTAGGTTTCTTAGGTTTCTCAGGTTTCTTAGGTTTCTTAGATTTCTTAGATTTCTTAGGTTTCTTTTCTCAGGTTTCTTAGGTTTCTTAAGTTATTCTTAGGTTATTCAGTCAGAGTCAGAGTCAGAGTTTAGACAGTCAGAGTCAGACTTTGAGTAGTCAGAGTCAGAGTTTGAGCGGTCAGAGTCTGAGTCAGAGTCAGAGCTTGAGCGCGGGCCCATTTTACCACTACAAGCTACGTTCCTAACAGTTGCTTCCGGCGAACGTTGTAAATAGAAATTGCTACAAATTCTATAAAAATATGTAAAATACAGGAATGTATAGTAATTAAAGTTTTTCTGCAGCGGAAGTTATACGGCAAAACAACAGCGCGATATCATATACAGAGTCCACAAACAAGGTAAATTCGCGCGGAGCGCGAAGTCGACGCACGATTACTGACAGATTCCACACCCGAAATAAAGTCTTTCAGTTAAACTACAGATACACGAATTTGGTACCATGTACCAGGCCAAATCTCTTTATACGGTGTTATCGAGTCAGTTGATTGCTATTTGCGAGCAGACTGCAATCTGAAGAAGCACCAAGCGGGACGAGGAGAAAAATTAAAGCGAGACAAGTTCAGATAATTACCGAGCAGAATTTTGAGCGCAATTTGCTTGATGACTGATCAAAGGACTGATCAAAGGCACTTTGCTTTACACGCAAGCTGAACCAGTTTAATTGCCTGTAAAAAATCTCAACGGGATTTTCGCAGTAGAATAGCTCATCGTCTTTTGGGTTCCCGGGTTCTCAGTGCCCCTCCTGCCCAAGCGAGGTAAATTCGCCTATGGATCTCCTGGTTATTCTTTTTCTGGACAGATGAACCCAGTTTTTTGAAAATTGTTTTTTCATTCTTATGATAATCCTGCAGCATTGTATTTAAAGTTAAAAGTGCAAATCAGTACAACAAAGTTGAGTCAACTGCAAAAATAGATTTCAATCAGGATAACAGTTTAAAACAATCCCCGAACCTTTGAGCACGAGCTAGGCAATGCACATCCAAGTACGTAAAAATCTGGATGAGGAGCTCCGGTAAAATGTCGCCCATTTTTTATTGCGATTCCGGAAGTCTGAGGCAAAAACTGTTAAAATTAACTTAGTAACCTGCTGAATGTTCTATGATTATCAAGACGAAGGAAAACCCCTGACGGTGCTCTGATATCCTCTTGCAGTTTACATGCAATGAAACATTTTTGATGGAGTGCCGTTCTGGGACTAAGATAACGTAAGCTATGACTACTGTTTTTTACCTGCAGACTGCAACAAAAATGAATAATATTATTTACAGGTAAGTTAGCTGCATTAGGACATAGGAGTGCAAAATGGTGCATAATTCGTCTCATAAACTAACTATAGCCTATAGCCTATAGTGCACTAAGTGCAGGCAACAGTGAGTTATCAAACTGGGTACAGCACGCGATTTTGCAAACAGTGGTTGTGAACTATCAACTGTACATGTACTGAGTCACTGACACACCGTACGAGGATGGGGTGTTGATTTTAATGAGTCAGCTCTGTCTCCCTGTTAGAGATCGAAAAGAGTGTACTAACGCCATTATATACCGAGAACTCGGTAGATTATTTGGAAGCTATTGGGAATATATTTTTACAACCACGAATACGTTTCCATGCATTTTACAGGAGACTTCTATATTAACTGGACGTAAACGTGCATTTGGTGCCCAACCATCCGTAAACGGAAAATCTTGGCAGTTGCGAGTGTAGCATTTGTTTTTGCAGTATGCTATGTCCGTGAGATTAGTGATACCTTTGGTGATACTGTTATGGGGAATCCACTTGGAAATGGAGCAGTTATTGTGATTATGTCACTGCACTGCCACCGATCAGCCCAGAAAGCCTTCAAAGCCATGCAAATGTGTGATGCTTCTTCTATACCCGATTATGCCAGAAACAGTCTAGAAATTCCCCCGGGAACATTAATTTTTGAAGGACGTTAACGGAGCGTGTATTCCGGAAACTTGAGGCGTAGTATCGTAATCGCTGTGCCATGAGCCAGTGTCACAGGTAAGAAAGAACTTGTGTGGAAAAGAAATCTCCAGCAACCTTATAGGATATGCGAAGAAGAATATTCGCGCGATTTGCAAACACTTGTCAACACCCATCTTTACGGAGTTTCGGCGAAACTGCATGAAGATGGGCAACCTGGTTTGCAAGGTTGTACCGTATGCAGGGAAGCTGGCAGTCCAGCGCACCAGTGCCAACGGGATCGGGGACGAAGCCAGCGGATGAGAAGGCGTGCGTCGTTCGGGAGGGTTCTCACTGTGCGCATCATAAAATAATGCGTATCTCAGTGGAGCTGACTGAGCTATGCGTCCATAAGGAGCAAAGCTGGAAACCTTCAGCATTCCTTCGAGCGCCATTTTTCTGGATGCAAACGGAATCCCTACCTGTTACGGGGTTAATCCGCTCAATCTTGGAGCTGGCCGAATGTACTACATGTACAGACTGTACTACATTCAGTCAGCTTGGAGATTTAGTGGACGTAACCGGTTGACCAGGGGAAATACATAATATGCAGATCACCTTCAATTCGTCGGCCTACTGTACTCTGTAATATCCCCAGAAGCAGTTACCCAGTCGGTATACAGCGGAATCTTACGCACTATCTGTCTCCTGCAGTGAATTCCAGCCAAGTTGACGTAAGGCGGAAACGCGAGGGAAAATGCTGTACAGCATCGGTACTTCTATTCGACTTGATTTCATGATTCCTCATTGAACACCAATTTATGTCCATGCAAATAGACTTGACGTAATAATGCTTTCAAGCGAACAGATTCTTGTGGTTGTGATTCTTGGGTACGATTTTATTGGGATTCTTCCTCGCCGGTTGGTCCTTATAAATGGTAGCGTAACTGTTACGCCATCATTTTCTCTTATAAGAGCAGCTGCACCGAGATTGTCCCTTTCGAAGGCTCGGCTGGCCGGTGACCTCCGTCGGCGGGACGAGGATGCAGCGCAGCGAGTGGCGCGTCGGTACAACGCTGCACTCTGTCCCCGGCGGCCGTTGACCGTTGTCAAGGGGATTCGGACGAAGATACACGGCAGCTAATGTGCCTCCGTGAGGCAGTCTAGCTGCACTGTGCCTTCGCCGCCTCACCATCGTAGTTAGTGCGGAATGTGTAACACGAGGGATAGCCACCGCTGTCATTCCGGAACGCGTAACGCTTTTTGCTGCATTGGCTACCAGTCGAGATGCAACAGAGAAGCGCAGTCTGCGCAGTGCGCACGATTCAGTCCCACGAAAGAGGTACAGACTGCAGTCCTGAGTCTGTACACGAAAGTACTAAAACTTGATTAAGCTCTTTCTCCTCCTACATACGAACGCATAGTACAATAGTACGCATAGTACATCTTCAACACTCATAGAGCCCTGCGTAATAGGCGGAAGGATTTCATTCTTCGGTCTTATGCACACGACACCACAAATGGAGTGGGGCGGCTTAAATAACCCAGAATATTCCATGTTATTAGCGGGTAAGCATGTATGAGAGTGTCCGTTTATGGGCGTCGGCGCGTCAACATCAGTCACTACTCACAAGGAAACGCACAGTGGTTTGCACAGCATCCAATACGTTCAGCAGCAAATAAATAACTTGGAAAATGTCCGGATAAGTTCATTGACAGACCGGAGCGCATCTCTTGCAAGTTGCCAATGCATCGTGGGAAGGCTGTGCGGGAAGACCTTAACCATTAATACAAAGGGCGTTCCAACGGTTTTCCCGGCAAACTCCGAATCTGTCGACAGGGGAAATCTACCCACCCAGTGACCCAGCAACGTCTTGAGGCTACTCGTTTAGCTGCGGAATTAAGGAAAATGGCCCGGTATATGGGATACATGCACTAAAACTTTCGCTTTCGCGCACTCCAGTTCGCTTTTTTGTAATACTTTCTGTCATTCTAAAGCAAATTATTTGTATACATTGTTCAGAAAACCGTGCGCGCGCGCAAAATCCGGTTCCTGAGATATGGCGTACTAAAATGGGTGAAAAGTTTAAATGCAGTGTTGAGCACCAAACGTCTGGTTATTGCTGGATCTTCTTGAAACTTTGCTGAATTGCTATCAATGACACATGGCCATAAAGTCGAAAGTTCACAAATTTCAGGTTCATAGCACTTTGCCATAATTTTAAAAGAATGAATTTTAAAATTTTTGAAATTCCTTTTAACATTTGCACACATTAATGGCTGTGATATCGCAAGGGGCGCCTGTAGCGCTGCGTTTAAAGAAGAAAAAAATTTATTTCTGGGCGTGTGTGTTGCAGTGTTATTGCACATACTTCGCCTGTCATGTGTTGCTTTTGGATGCGATTTGCTTTTATGGTATTTGCCATTCCACATTTGCGCGATCCAGGTTCACCGAGAACGGCATCTTGTTCCGTTGTTCGCGTATGTATCTCGAAATCCGTCAGGGAACCGCTGCCGATATACGAGGAACGCTTCCTGACACTAACGAGCAACGAGAACGGAGTCAAAATATATTATGAACAGTGCATAAAGATAAAAGTAAGACGCAAATAAAAAAGTCGATGAGAACCGAAAATGCTGTACAGTATCAGTAACTCAGTATCCCCATTTGACTCCACAGACTGTTGTCCTTCGTTCTGTTCCATTTTGTCCGATGTGGAGCTGCGTGAAGCTAACTCAGCGTGGCCAAGTACGAGCGCACACTATAAGAAAAAGTCAAGCTCGGAGTCTTGTCTTGCTTCTTATGGTCGTACTCGCTGCGCACGCATGACTCAGATATGCCAGGGAGGCGGAAACGGTTCCTCCATACTGGCTTTTGATCGCAGGCTCCGTGTAGCTCACCGCATCGTTAGAGATTTGTAGGAGCACGCGACTTTATCCAGCAGAATATTCTTCTGGCTCTTCGCGAGAACTACATCGACCAAAAGTCCAAGCATTAGAATGATAATTAACGAGCTTGCAACAGAGGCCGCAAGAGACAGTGATACATCGTTCCACGACCTTCCTAGATAGGCTAACGACAATGCACTTGCATCACACGGAAAAGGGAACACAAGCCAATTTTAAACTTAACTTAAATTTAAATTTAATAGACTGGAGAATGCAGATTCACTTGCAAGTTCATTACACTCATGCAACGCGCATCAAGCAGCGTGTGTACACTCGTACACCGTACTCTGTGCTGCAAGTTGTGCTGCCGGATGCACTACAGTCGTATTCATTGATTGTTATCCTTTACTAGAAGTAAGCACCAGTCAGTCACACTGGGCTTCAATCCGCAGAACTCTCTGCGATTTGCAGGTCGGCCTTGGAGAACTGATTTCATCTTGGTGTTCCTCTCGGAATCTGGGACTCTTACCAACTTGCCATCTGGTGTTACCTTACAGATAGTAATTTCATTTCCGTCCTCATTCAAGGTAGCGTGAGTGACGTGGCAGTCGTGGATGAAGTACCCTCTTGTCCCTGTGCGCTCTGTCGACCTTCTTCGAGTTTGCCAAGGAAATCGGCGGAAAACTCCCTTGGCCTGCAGGCGCGCACAGTATACAGTGCTATCCACTGTGCAATAACAATCTATCGACGAAGGCTTATAGTCGCAAGATGTTCGCGCCAGTCGTCGGGGAATTATTATTTCTTCTTCTGATATCTTCTCGGAATCTCTGTTCTTATCCGTGCTGTACGACAGCACAGCGTGGATTTCCTAATGCATAGACTTCAAGCCGTTTCCTTTCTGGTGCTGCACACGGGAACGTCATCGGCCTGTCTCCAACTATAGGAAGCCAATCTCATTCACGTCTCCGGAACTGTGCAGCGTGCGTGCTTGTCCATCGCAAAAGTTGATTTGCGCAGTTACTATTGATTTACTACAGTGGAATGTTTGTTCCGAATTATCCGTGTGCGCTCTGAACAGAGTCAACAGATACAGACCCTGATCTGTATCATCTGTTCAAACTTCAAAGCTTGTTCGGATCCGTAGCTTATGGGAGACATGGTAGACTCACGTGGCTTCTAGAAGCTACACATCCGATGGCGAGATTTCTTATGGAAGAAGTAAGCTGGACTACTGTGCGCTTCTGCCGAGGAGACGCGCCGTATAATCATGCGTCATAGATCTTTTTGATTAATTTTAGTAGTTAGCTAACACTAATACCGCATTAATCGCATTACACCGTACGAAGTATACAAGTGGCAGCGTTGTTTTACGCTTCTTCACGTCCGTGTCGTTTCGATTGTGGAAAAATATGCGGGTCGCTAATATTGTATACCGTATTTCGGTATATTTTGTCCCCATCTGGAACAATGTTGCTTAAGTAGACATGACTTGCATCGGATAATACGAGTACCTGGTAAGTGGCGGTAGTAATC